CGTGACATTAACCATGTTTTACCACGTACCAAAAGGTCACCGCAAAATAAAAAATTTTCCGGGCAGTGTTCTGTTGGAAATAGAGCAAAGACAGCAACCAGAAAGGAAGAAATTTTTCTGTGCAGCCTCCTCTACCAACAAACAGAGCTCAGCCGTCCAAAATGAAGAAAATGGAGCTACTGGATTAAGATTGAAAATCCTTGAATAAAGGAATTTTCCGGCAAAGGGTTGAAGAAACCCGAGACGAAAAATCCAGCCATGAAAGTGGCTACAGGAGGCTAACAATATCTATGGGCAGTTTGCATTTGAACGAGTTCTCTAATGTCCATTGAAAAAGAAAAGGAAGATCACCTCATTTACCTTCCTACCACAAAAATTTTCTGCCTTTGTCACCTAACATAAATCACAAGCCAAAGGAGATCAAATCATGTTTCCTGAACATCCCATAAATATCCCAAACATGAATTTTCACCACTACAAATATTGTATATAATATAATATAGCTATTTGCCAAAAGTAGTCATCTGCGGGAACCTTCTTGAATGGATTACCATGAAAATGGTGGATTCTTGCTATTACATTTATGAAAGCAGAGAAGAAAATGAAGAATCAAAGAGGTGAATTATGGCAAACACAAAAGCTTCATGAAAAGCTTCGGTTAAATTTCACACCGACGACCACCGTTCAAGCAACCGCCGGTGCTAATGGAATTCACGCTTTTGTCCATTGGTTCAGCATTTAATGTGATGGAGACTGTTTATGGTGGCGTGTTCTTTTTTTTAGAAAAGACTTGTGCTCCTCAGCCATCTGCAGGCCACCTACCGCTTGATTTTGTTGACTTTTCTCACATTATAATGGGATGGCATCTTGTTGAGCCCCGCTTACTGGTATGTACTATTGGGCCAAAAGAATTAATTCTTCTTGGGCTTCATTAACCTCTCTTGACCTAAAATGTTTGGGCCCCTTTTAATACTTTAATTGGTGCTGAATTCTTCCTGGCCATTGCTATTTATATTTTCTCCCAAGTATATCAACTCCACATGGCCTCGTGGATTTTGTTCAAAAAGTGAGCCTATTTGTCAATGTGATAATTTAAGTGGAAGAGCCAAGTCAGCCCGCCCTCACTTTGTTTACTTCGATCACTAAAGTAAACTACCGGGGAAGTGTTCTGAATTCGAAATGGAAGAAACCAATTAAAATGATTTGATTCAAGGATTTTGGGGCTGCAAAATAACTCTCTTACCTGCTAGTTATAAAGTAATTTTCCATGTTGCGGAATAATTATTTTTGAGAAATTTCAAGAAGGGCATAGTTGATTTAATTTCTGCAAATGAATTGTTATCCTATTATTGCCCCCATATATTGGAAATGGCTGATGGCACGCACCATGTATTTGGCAAAAATACATTGCCTGGATCTTTCTTATTCAAATGCCCGTTTTATGATTATTTCTATTATTTAAGACAAGCTTTAAGACCTCGCACATCTGAGGCTAACTTGTAACACTTCTTATAATCGAGGGTGAGCCATAACGGGTGAATTTCTTACTATCAGAGGCAGTATTTTATGAGTCCTCGTTCATTCCTTGAATAAAGGAAGAGGCGGCCCTTATTCCTTGAAAAAGGAAAAGGCAAATCGCTAGAAACTTATTCCTCGCATCGCGAGATGTTTATTCCTCGCCTCGCCAGATGCTTATTCCTGGCCTCGCGAGATGATTATTCCTCGCTTCGCCAGATGCTTATCCCTGGCTTCGCGAGATGTTTATTGCTTGCCTCGCCAGATGCTTATTCCTGGCCTCGCGAGATGATTATTCCTCGCTTCGCCAGATGCTTATCC